ACATGGGGCAGATGACGTAGAGTTCATCTGATTCATTGATCTCGGCATATGAAGGGATAGTGTGGTCAGCACTATACCCAGCCGCTTTTATTTCCCTTGCGTAAGTTAGGTACCCAGTAGAGCTGGGTGGACTAAGGGACGTTCCACTGATTTGAACCCGGATTCGAAGCTCTCGGGTTAGCAGTCTAGCTCTCTACCACTAGGCCACGCCGTACCATATACAAGTAGTTGATAAGGCTTTTAAGTGGAGTGGGGGGATGAGGTATCCAGTTATATCATTAAAAAAGTTTGCTGTGGCTTTTGGGGTGGAGTTGTGTGGGTGTGTAGGGTGCGACACTGAAATAAAAATGTTAATTTTGTGTTACAGATGGGAGGGGGGGTGTGACATTAGGAGCTGCTGCATATGTTGTCACTTAACAAAGTGAGGCTAAAACTGCATTTCTTTAATCATATTTTCTACAGACCGTATCACATAATGTACTAATACGTAATGTGGCTGCATAATATTCAATACACTAAGATAGGGTGTAGATGTTGTCTATTTGTTGTCTAGCTGTTGACTAGCTGTTGTCTAGATGTTGACTAGCTGTTGTCTAGATTGACTAGCTGTTGTCTAGATGTTGTCTAGCTGTTGTCTAGATGTTGTCTAGCTGTTGACTAGCTGTTGTCTAGCTTTTGTCTAGTTGTTGTGTAGCTGTCTAGCTTTTGTCTAGTTGTTGTGTAGCTGTCTAGCTGTTGTCTAGATGTTGTCTAGATGTTGTCTAGCTGTTGTATACATGTTGTATACATGTTGTCTAGCTGTTGTCTAGCTGTTGTCTAGCTGTCTAGCTGTTGTCTAGCTGTCGTCTAGCTGTTGTATAAATACATTAAACTCTCTACCACAACACTTGGCACTTGTGTATAAACAACACCCATTTCACTTCCTTGTTCGGGTCATTCACTTCATGGATCAAAGTATAGAGGTCTACTAGGACGTACGTTCTACGGGTGCTTAGCTATGTTGATTTTATCAGTAGCTACTCAATGATTGCCGTATCAAGTAGAACAGTAGCTACCCAAAGATTATCTTTATTGAAGAGACTAGTATCTAATTCTACTAAATGGGCATCTTTATACATAGATTAGTAGAACGATGATTAACTGTATCAAGTAGATCAATATCTATCCCATGATTATCTGTATCAAATAGATCACTAGCTACCTTATAATTATCTGTATCAAGTAGGCTAGTAGCTACCTTATAATTATCTGTATCAAGTAGGCTAGTAGCTACCTTATAATTATCTGTATCAAGTAGGCTAGTAGCTACCTTATAATTATCTGTATCAAGTAGGCTAGTAGCTACCTTATAATTATCTGTATCAAGTAGGCTAGTAGCTACCTTATAATTATCTGTATCAAGTAGACCAGTAAGTACCCGATGATTATATGTACCAAGTTATCAGTAGCTGCTTGATTATTATAGTGACCTAGCGGTAGAGAGCTGGACTCTAAATCTAGACCGTCCCTGAGTACACTCAGCTCTGATGGGTACCTAACTCACGTTAGGGTAAGTAAAGGCGGCTGGGCAAAGTGCTATCCCTTCATATGTCGAGGTCACAGAAACAAGTAAAGTCTATTTCACTTGCTCCATAGACCGTCAGGTTTGAAAGGGAACTTTACTTACTACTTGATTATTATCAAGTAGATTAGTAGCTACCAAATGAGTATCTATATTAAATAGACCAGTATCCAACTCTACCAAATGAGTATCTATATTAAATAGACCAGTATCCAAATATATCTTTCAAGACAAATATGCACAAAAATTACATTTTGACATCGTTTTTTTTTTAAATTTTATTTATACTTGTAATTAAGAAACCCAATAACGGCTCCTCCACCCCCACCCCACCCCCACCCCCACCCCCGTCCACGCATGAGTTCAGCATTCAGCGGTATGGTATTTTAATTTCATCCAAAGAAGTAACTGAGTCGCTACCATTATGAACTGATTGATAGCTTTCACTAACAGATCAGCTGCAGCCAATGCCTGAATAATTTATGCTCCACGAACCGTTCAAACATTTCACGATATTTATAAAACACTAAACACGGGACACGCCCTGAAGCCGCTTAGCTTAAAGATATCTCATACAGGTTGGGGGTTTGTTTTAGCGGTTCTCAAACTACGTTCGTCAACTACGTGAACTACGTTCGTGGAGATAATCTTTAATTGTCACAACACGTCTTACACAAACATGACACAATTATATGACATTTTGGATATACTTTTTAAAAACTATTCTTATTTTATATATATATATATATATATATATATATATATATATATATATATATATATATATATATATATAATTGTTTACATACAAACATACAAGGAATTTTACTTACTTTTTTTACATACAAACTGATAAAATGCTATCATATCTAATAAACTTTTAGACTAGTATGCCACACATAATACCAATAATATCAATAATATCAATATACACATAATATCAATTTAAATTTCAAACTGCTATGCAGCATCGCATATACTTTTAAAATCTATTTTAAACTCAATTATATTTTACAAAAAAAAATTGATATTCAAAGTAATTTACTCAATGCTATTTTTAAGATATTTTTGAAACCTATTTTAAATTTAAATACACAAGCAATTTGAAGAATAAAAAAATTCAATGTAGATTAGTATTGAGAACCTCGTATGTCAAGGAGAATTTTCAACCATTCAGATGTTCCAGCATTATGGGATTGTTTGTTGGGATTATAAATTAAATGAAACGACTGGCCCACCTTTGTCAACACTAAAACGACAATTGTAAAACTATCAGAGGGATTATGTGACATGTTTATTGTACATGCGAACGTATTAGAAGCTACAACGTAATGAATCACATTCGTGGGGGCTGTAAAACGGTTTAGAAAAAGGTAATAAAATGTATGTAAGCTAAACAATGTGTCACTTTGGAAAGGTGTGGGATATGTTTTAACGGTGTTTGAAAGTACCCCACCCCTAATCACTTTAATGTAAGTACGTGCTATGGGTCCCTACCCTTTGTTTAGTGCTGGTGGGTACCAAGGTTCCCTACCCTCATTTCAGGTTTGCAGATGTCAGGTTGAATATACCAAGCTTTCAGGTTGTGTGTCAAGCAATGCTCCCCAATGGCAATCTATAGTCTAGTTTAAAAGTTTTAAGTTCCCCCATTCTCTCCCTCCCTCTACACCGTCTGTGGGGAAAAGTAAATAACTAAAAACCAATTAAAAATAATAAATCACAAGCGTTAGCAGTATATAATGCTATTTATCGACTAATTAGAACTTACACTTTTTTCAGGTTATTTGAATTAAATATTGGTTGTGTTTAAGATACTTCTACATTAAGTCGGTTTGTTTCTAATAAAGTGTAACTGAAGTAAAGGATCAAGTCAGCTACACAGTAGTGCACTGAATGAATCATCCCCCCTCCCCCCCCCCGTTCCTTAAATTATCCGTTATTTATGATGTTACTTTTTTATATAAAAGTAAACTTCATTTTTAACCTGATGGTCTATGGGACAAGTGAAGTAGAGTTGACCTGTTTCTGTGACCTCGGCTTATGAAAGGATAGTGTGGTCAACACTATGCCCAGCCGCCATTAGTTCCCCTAACCCCTAATCAGGTACTCATCAGAGCTGGGTGGACTCGGAGACGCTCTGCAAACTTAAAACCGGATTCGAACTCGAGACGTTCGGGTTAATAATAGTTTGCTCTACCATCATTTTTTTTTTAAAAGTTCAGTATGTTAAATTATTTTTCTTTTGAATTAATGACATTTGATGTCTCAAGCCAAACAACCTATTAAGAGTGCTAGTGTGAATTCGTCAAAGTTGGGGGGGGGGGGAGAGGGTAGCTCGTGTGGGTAATGTTACGAATAAGAAGGTGATTGGTGTTTGTGTATAGACCGAATAGTGGGGGTCGTTCACAAGTAGTGATATCTGCGCCTGCGATAGTTGTTTGTTGTTAACTGTTTTAAAGTACGTTACGCATGAATGACATCGTATGATAAATAACCGGCAATAACAACCTCGGCTTCTCGGATACTTTTCAATATGTTATCTGCAGTTTTATTTATGTTCGTGTGTTCAAATCCTAGCTTCGCGTGTTGTTATATAACGAGGTCCTTTGCTTCCCAAAATATGTTGTGTTGGTACGTTACAAAGCAGCCCTCATCACACATTTACAACTCGTAAACATAATTATAATTGATATTGACTTGCTTATTTGTTTATTTTTAAATATTTACAAAATGTGTTTAATACTTCAAATTTCTAAATCCCTTCCACAGATTATCGTTACATCATTCAGACTTCACTCTCTCTCCCCCCCCCCCCGCCATACCCAGGGGGAGAGGCGTTAGTGACTCCATTTATAGACGTCAATCCTTTTTTTTAAATCTTTATATGGTTAAGTTTATAGATTCTATGTAGATTCAAGTTAGGGTCTGTATTTGTACTAGTGATTTGATTTCATGTTTAAATTTTATTCAAGTCTTCTTTTGGGTACATTTCTTCTTATAAATTTATGATACATTTTTAGATTTTTTTTTCAGATAATGTTTTTTAAGTAGGGCATCTTTAATATTAAGATTAAGAAATGACGTAAAATACTATGATAACTAATTTTACGCCACAATCTTGTCAACAACATTCTTCTAATAAAGTACATGTACTAAGGTAAATCTATGTCAATTCCACCATTGGTAGTTTTCAATCATTGAACAAGCAAAAACACCACCACACACAGAAAGCCGAAAGTTGTCCCCAACGCTAGAAACTATTTTTAACCTCTGACCCAAATTCCCGCCTACCTATACGAGACATTCATTCACCCAACCGTACAGCCCACGACAGAAGACATAACCACGATACCGTTCTATTTATAGCACAGCTACGACCGACAACCCACCAAAACATGGGTGTGTCGCGTAGTTCACTCCCTTACCTGCTGCGAAGACGTCAAGTTTGTATAGACCGGTGTGTCCGGGGTATTTATATATAGACCTAATATCGCCCAACTCCTCATAAACATATCGGAGCCAGTGCAGTTCAGAATCATATTTTAATATTCACTAGGCCGTGTATTCTTTTCTGTGATATACCAGCTATTCGTCGTTAAATATTTGAGCTAAGAAACGAATAATTATTTGTTAATTAGGTTTTTAGTATCTTTATTTTGGATCTACACGATTTCTAGTCTTGGATCTATCTCAGTATTAATTTTGTACAAAAGCCAATAGTAACAGAGATTTGTTTTCAAGTGGACTAACATCATTGATCTTCAAAGTGTACATAATTCACTTGTGCCAGGATGGCTGCTAAAGGATATAAGATCGTCTTTATTGCCATTAATATTTTACTACTGGTGAGATGTACTTTTTTTATAAACCATTTCATTTTCCTAATTATAAGTTCATTGTTCCAATTATTATTTCTAATATATATATATATATATATATATATATATATATATATATATATATATATATATATATATATATACAGTATATATGTCTGTATGTGTGTTTTAAATATGTAATTATTTTGAAAATAAATATAAACTTTAACCAGCGTTCAAACCCCCCCCCCACCCCCCAAGGAAATTTAAAGAGGGTCCACCATCGAGTTTCAACTGCCCCCCACCCCACCCCGAAAAAAGTGTCTGAAACTCGGGTACATTTTACCGTCCACATGTATAACCCTAGCACTAATATCCCTCCATTATTGAACATATCCCTAACCTCAGGTAGACCTTAAACTTATACTTAGTCTCAAACCTTAAACCTACCGCTAATCTCAGCCTAACCTTAAACCTATCCCTAATCTCAAACATTTAACCTATCCCTAATCTAAGGTAGACCTTAAACCTACCCCTAATCCCAGGTTAACCTTAAACCTATCCCTAATCTCAGACTAACCTTAAACCTATCCCTACTAATATCCTCTCCACCTGAATCATAAAATTAATGTGTACAGCATGGATGCATTTTACGTGGGCGCTGTTAATGGGACAGTGAACATTACAAATGACTTATCTCAAAACGTAGGCAGTTTCATTCAGACATCTCTCCGGGGCACATCCACCCCCTCAATCCACTGCCCAGGACGTAATTGAAAGATATATATATATATATATATATATATATATATATATATATATATATATATATATATATATATATATATATATAATTGATGTAAAAAATATATACTTGAAAGGAGTCCCCACCCCCGGTACTTTAAGTCCCCCCGCCCCCAGTACTTTAAGTATTGTGTTGTTCTATAGCCTACAGTTTTAAACTAACTTTTAATATTTCAACACTGCTATTCACGTGATCAGTTTATAGGTATCGTGTTGATTTAAAAATTGTAAACTGACTCTCTGTACTCTAACATTTCCAATCACGTGACCAGTTTATAGGTATCGTGCTGCTCTATAATAATTTGTCAACTAAAATTCAGAATTCTAACATTGCCAATCACGTGAGCAGTTTATAGGTATCATGTTGTTCTTTAATTATTTTTTTTTAAGTTCATCAATCTAACTCTCCCATTACATTATCTCACGTGATCAGTTTATAGGTATCGTGCTGCTGGCCCTCGGTGCCTGGGTACTGATTGATGATGACGGTCTTGTTAACCTGGCTAAACTGGACTTTGATGGCTATTATGGCGACCTCTCCAAACCAGGTGAGTTCAAGATTGCCTAAATGTGTAAACTGTTAAGTCGGACAATGCCTAAAAGTGATATCTACGATACCGCTGTACTGTTTTCTAATGGTGACATCAAGAATATAGTACTACAAAGTCAAATTAATTCATAAGTAAAAAAAAGTTAAATACAAGGACTAGTTACTAAGCGTAAGCAGGATCAGAGGCGTAGCGGCGACTCTTCCTGGCGCCCGGGGACAAACTTTCAATTTGGCGCCACTCCTCCCCCCCCCCCTCCCCCGGACAAATTTTCAATTTGGCGCCCCTCCTCATATATTTTTTGTTATATTTATAATGCAAAACTACAGCTAAGATGAGCTTTTAATTTTTTTTCAACCCATTTTGGCGCCCCCTTGAGTCGGTGCCTGGGGACATATGTACACCCCGCCCCCCTCTGAGCAGGTTTTACTTTGAAAAGCTATACATCAACAATGTCGTTTCTCTTATGTTATTGTTATGATAGTATGTTTATAAGATTATACTATAACTTTTCACTTGTCATGTTTCTGATGGCTTGACTGTGTTTCGTTCCCAGGTCTACTTGACGCGGCTGCGGTGATTGCTATGATTGAGGGTGCTGCTATGATCTTGGTGACACTGCTGGCCTTCTTTGGAGTGGGTCAACAGTCCAAATGTTTCCTGGCGCTGGTAAGTAGGTCAAACGTCGAATTCGGGTGTTTTATTTATCCCGACAAAAAGGTCAATCGTCTAAATCGTCTAAATGAGCTATTTTTAGTTGGCCAATGTTGTTTTGTGCAAGTTAAAATAAATCAATGCTCTAATTTGGACTTTTGTTTCCTGAATCCATGAAAAAAAGGCAATCGTCTAAATGGTTTTTTAGTAGGCCAATGCTCTTTTGTACACGTTTCCTTTTTTTGTGAGCGGATAATGGTCTAGATATTTTAAGGTGCGTCTAGCTTGGACAATCCTTTAAATCAGTGGTTCTTAACCTAGGTTAAATTGGACCCTAGGGGTTTGGTGAGTCAGCCTCATGGCTTCAGCGGAAGTCAAGACACACCTCCGACTCTTTTGATTCATGATCTGATTTTGTCAGAGCGGGCGATAGAACTATCAAGAAGGGTTCAGTGCATGCGCATTTGAAACTGGTGAGGTTCAATACCTACAAAAAGTTTAAGAACCACTGGTTTAAATGTTACTCGCTGAAGTCGCAGTGTGTTCTTCTCATGCATGTTTTACAATTTGAATCAACAAATACGCCGAACAATAGAAAAATCTATAGGCCTACCGTTTCCTAAACACTTCCCTTTAGTTTAAAAACAACATAACTCACATGTAGACGAATAATGACACAGTTTTATTGAGTTCTGTGACAATATTCAATCAAAACATATGTGTGTGGTTTAACATTTCTTTGATAAGATGAGATTTAAACCTATTTGTGACGGATTTGGGATTAGAATTTTTAAAAATGGATACCCTAATAAATGGAATTACCTGGTGATTATTACCACCTGCATCATGTGTATCCCAAGAGTAATTAGATTAAGTGTACTCAGCGGCGTCGCTTGGTCGGTTGTCACAGGATGCGGTCCTCATCCCCCCCCCCCCCCCCGCCCAGCCCTCGCTACGCCTTTGAGTGTACTGCATAATAGGCTTTTGCATAATGTTTAACATTGCCCTAAAATACGAGATGGGGCCGGTAAAGCTCGTGGTTGCTTTTCGAAAAGTCTTGAGTTCAAACCCCCGGACAGATGAGGCTATTCCAACATTACAATTAAAAACGAAGAGGTACTAAATTGCATTGTTCTACATATGTATATATTGAATTATACTTTTTTTAACATGTTTTACCCCCACCTCACACCCAGCCCTCTGTGCACTAGACTATGATATAATGTATTCCGAAAAGCAAGTTCGGTCTTTCTTCCTGACTTAAATAAAATAAATGCCACTATTCATTTCGTTAGAATTAAATTAACCAACTCGCTATACAGACTTAAGCGAGTAAAGTGGCTGTTATTTAAAATCAACACACGAACTGCATTATCTACCACACTAGTATAGATTCACCAGGCATTCTATATTCATAAGGTGTTTGAACTGTTTTAATTAGAAGTAAAACGAAGCGCCCCCAGACTGAAAGCCAGCTTTTGGGTACCGTTTCGTTTCTTGAGCATAAAATATTAAAATGTGTGTAAGGGTTGATCGACAGCTAGCTTTAAACAGGTAGTCGGTATATGCAGGGTTGGCATATGGGTAATTTTACTGTCAATATTGACAGCACGGACATAAGCCATGTAAGCTTAGCTAAGACAGTAGGGGTTGCTACGGCAGAGGCGTAGCGAGGGTATCCCCGGGCGCCGACACTAGAGGGCGCCAAAATGGGTTGGAAAAAAATAAAAAGCTTTTTTTTTATCTGCAGTTTTGCATTATAAATGTAAAAAAAAATGGGGGGGGGGGGGCGCCAAATTGAAAGTGTGTCCCCGGGCGCCGGAAAGGGTCGCTACGCCTCTGTGCTACGGTAAGAAAATGCGGTATGTATAGACAGGGCATGAAAAAGTCAGTTCTGACTTGGCAGTAAGGATGAAACTTTAATCTACAGACATGATCTTAGCATTAAGTCTGCCTTAACAAAAACAGGCTATTTAAAAGTGCACAATTATACCATTTTAGACCTTAAGATCCGCGAGGTAAATTAAGTTGTTTATTTTATGTCTTTGTGGGACGGCGTGGCAAAAGAGGCAGGGCGCTTGGCTGCTAACCCGAAAGTCTCAAATTCGAATCCGGGCCCAAGTCATTAGAATGTCACTGAGTCCACTCAGTTCTGAATGGTATAAGGGAAAATAAAGGCGGCTTGGCAAAGTGCTGACCACACCTTCCATTCATATGACGAAGTCAATAAACATATAAACTCTGCTTCATCTATCAAGGGATCGCTAGGTCTAAAGATGATTCTTTACTATTTTATCTATGTCAATATGCTGTTAGGTAAAGGCAACTCATGAGGTGGTATTATGGTGAATTTCTTATAGCAGTGTCCCATAATGGCACAACAATACAATCTTCTTTTTGAAAAAGGGGCGTTATGTTAGTGGGAGTTAGCTAAATACACATTTGTATTGCCAATGCCATTAGAATCCTATCCCTAGCCCCAACCCTAGTCATACCACACGCCTAATCCTAATTTCTAACCATAAAATTACACTTGAGATTACAATTTACAACCAACAACCTAACACACCTATTTTAGGAAGAGTCTATTATTGGACATACTATCCTCAATCCTCCGATATTTGATATCTCCTAGATCATGTTTCTTATTAAAATAATTTACAACAGCGAAGTTCGTGACTGCAGAATTTATTTTAGATTTCCTTTCACTCCGTGTTCACTACACGTTGCTAATCTGGTTCTATACAGACATGACGTCATTGTTTACCTGTGTACCATAGACCCGTAGACCAGAGTTCACTCAGGTTCCGCTCCAGTAGAGATCGGGTTACGCATGTGTAGCTCGCCGCCATTGGGAGAAAAAAAAAACAAGCATTCATGCAAGGGTGTAGTGGCGTTTCCTGGACGGGCGTCACCCGCTGTGGTAACTGAGGTGTCACCCCCCCCCCCCCCAGTTTGGACAATCTCTTATCTCAGCGGTTCTTAATCTTGGTTAGATCGAGCCTCATTGCTTCGGCGAGTCCCAGGGGTTCGTCGGTGGCAGAGTTTCTTACAGGCATTTCTTCGGGGAAGGGAGAGGGAGTGAGGGGGGTGGGGGGCTTACCCTTCCCCCTCCCCCCCTCCCCGAAAAATATCTACCTACCCACACCGGAAAATTTAGTCCGCCCCCCACCCCCGAAAAATTAAAGTGCGTACCGGAGAAAAAAGTATCGAAGAAACACTGGTCGGAAGTTAAGGCACACACCAGACTAACAAGATTCACCATCGGATTTTGTCAGTGCGGACGAAGAAGCTATTAAGAAGGGTTCAGTGAATGCGCATATGAAACTGGTGGGGTTCACACGTCCAGAAAAATTGAGAACCACTGCTCTAACCCGTTCTATTTGTATGTTCTACAGTACGCTGGGTTTGTGCTGATTATGGTGCTGGTACAGGCTGTTATCATTGCGCTCACGGTGGTCGTCAGGGATAGGGTGAGTACCATGTCTGGGATGATTGTGTTGTGTGAGTACCGTGTGTGAGTTGATTGTCTTGTGTGAGTACCATGTCTGAGGTGATTGTGTTGTGTGAGTACATCCATGTCTGAGATGATTGTCTTGTGTGAGTACCATGTCTGAGGTGATTGTCTTGTGTGAGTACCATCCATGTCTGAGATGATTGTCTTGTGTGAGTACCATGTCTGAGATGATTGTCTTGTGTGAGTACCATGTCTGAGGTAATTGTGTTGTGTGAGTACCATGTATGAGATGATTGTGTTGTGTGAGTACCATGTCTGAGATGATTGTGTTGTGTGAGTACCATGTCTGAGATGATTGTCTTGTGTGAGTACCATGTCTGAGGTGATTGTCTTGTGTGAGTACCATGTCTGAGATGATTGTGTTGTGTGAGTACCATGTCTGAGATTATTGTCTTGTGTGAGTACCATGTCTGAGATTATTGTCTTGTGTGAGTACCATGTCTGAGATTATTGTCTTGTGTGAGTACCATGTCTGAGATTATTGTCTTGTGTGAGTACCATGTCTGAGATGATTGTGTTGTGTGAGTACCATGTCTGAGATGATCGTGTTGTGTGAGTACCATGTCTGAGGTGATTGTGTTGTGTGAGTACCATGTCTGAGGTGATTGTCTTGTGTGAGTACCATGTCTGAGATGATTGTGTTGTGTGAGTACCATGTCTGAGGTGATCGTGTGAGTACCATGTCTGAGATGATTGTGTTGTGTGAGTACCATGTGTGAGATTATCGTGTGAGTACCATGTCTGAGATGATTGTGTTGTGTGAGTACCATGTCTGAGATGATTGTGTTGTGTGAGTACCATGTCTGAGGTGATCGTGTGAGTACCATGTCTGAGATGATTGTGTTGTGTGAGTACCATGTGTGAGATTATCGTGTGAGTACCATGTCTGAGATGATTGTGTTGTGTGAGTACCATGTCTGAGATGATTGTGTTGTGTGAGTACCATGTCTGAGGTAATTGTGTTGTGTGAGTACCATGTCTGAGATTATTGTCTTGTGTGAGTACCATGTCTGAGGTAATTGTGTTGTGTGAGTACCATGTCTGAGGTAATTGTGTTGTGTGAGTACCATGTCTGAGATTATTGTCTTGTGTGAGTACCATGTCTGAGGTGATTGTCTTGTGTGAGTACCATGTGTGAGATTATCGTGTGAGTACCATGTCTGAGATTATGTGTGGTGTGAGTACCATGTCTGAGGTAATTGTGTTGTGTGAGTACCATGTCTGAGATAATTGTGTTGTGTGAGTACCATGTCTGAGATGATTGTGTTGTGTGAGTACCATGTCTGAGATGATTGTGTTGTGTGAGTACCATGTCTGAGATGATTGTGTTGTGTGAGTACCATGTCTGAGATGATTGTGTTGTGTGAGTACCATGTCTGAGATGATTGTGTTGTGTGAGTACCATGTCTGAGATGATTGTGTTGTGTGAGTACCATGTGTGAGATTATCGTGTGAGTACCATGTCTGAGATTATGTGTGGTGTGAGTACCATGTCTGAGGTAATTGTGTTGTGTGAGTACCATGTCTGAGGTAATTGTGTTGTGTGAGTACCATGTGTGAGATTATTGTCTTGTGTGAGTACCATGTGTGAGATTATTGTCTTGTGTGAGTACCATGTCTGAGATTATTGTCTTGTGTGAGTACCATGTCTGAGATTATTGTCTTGTGTGAGTACCATGTCTGAGATGATTGTGTTGTGTGAGTACCATGTCTGAGATTATCGTGCTGTGTGAGTACCATGTCTGAGGTGATCTTGTTGTGTGAGTACCATGTCTGAGATGATTGTGTTGTGTGAGTACCATGTCTGAGGTGATCTTGTTGTGTGAGTACCATGTCTGAGGTGATCTTGTTGTGTGAGTACCATGTCTGAGATGATTGTGTTGTGTGAGTACCATGTCTGAGGTGATCTTGTTGTGTGAGTACCATGTCTGAGGTGATCTTGTTGTGTGAGTACCATGTCTGAGATTATCGTGTTGTGTGAGTACCATGTATGAGATTATGTGTGGTGTGAGTACCATGTCTGAGATTATCGTGTGAGTACCATGTCTGAGATTATCGTGTGAGTACCATGTCTGAGATGATCGTGTTGTGTGAGTACCATGTCTGAGATCAAATGTGTCGTTAGATAGAACTAGCTGGTGAAGCAGACATTCATTGAGTTCACGAACACGCACATGCATACACTAATAACTTAGAACACTCACACATATAAATGTAAAATGCATGAACTATTCGCCATCTAATGATAATTTCCCATCATCCAATAATTAGTCTTCAACATCCAATATTGACTTTTCACTATCCACTCACAATATTTTAGAATACAATAAATATATCTCACTATCCAACTATCCAACCATAACCTTCTACCATCCAACCATAATTTTTCACCATCCAACTATAACTTTCCATCATCCAACTATAACTTTCCACCATCCAACTATAACTTTCCACCATCCAACTATAACTTCCCACAATCAAACTATAACTTTCCACCAGCTAATGATAACTCTCCATCATCTAGAAATAATTTCCACCATCGAATGATAACATTCCCCCATCCAACTATAACTTTCCATCATCCAACTAGAACTTCCCACCTTCTGTTGTTAACATTCCCCCCATCAAACTATAACATTCCCCCATCAAACTATAACATTCCCCCCATCAAACTATAACATTCCCCCCATCAAACAATAACATTCCCCCAATCCAACTATAACATTCCCCCCATCAAACGATAACATTCCCCCATCAAACTATAACATTCCCCCATCCAACTATAACATTCCCCCATCAAACTATAACATTCCCCCATCCAACTATAACATTCCCCCATCCAACTATAACATTCCCCCATCCAACTATAACATTCCCCCATCCAACTATAACATTCCCCCATCAAACTATAACATTCCCCCCATCAAACTATAAAATTCCCCCATCAAACTATAACATTCCCCCCATCCAACTATAACATTCCCCCCATCAAACTATAACATTCCCCCATCAAACTATAACATTCCCCCCATCCAACTATAACATTCCCCCATCAAACTATAACATTCCCCCCATCCAACTATAACATTCCCCCATCAAACTATAAAATTCCCCCATCAAACTATAACATTCCCCCCATCCAACTATAACATTCCCCCCATCAAACTATAAAATTCCCCCATCAAACTATAACATTCCCCCCATCCAACTATAACATTCCCCCCATCAAACTATAACATTCCCCCATCAAACTATAACATTCCCCCCATCCAACTATAACATTCCCCCATCAAACTATAACATTCCCCCCATCCAACTATAACATTCCCCCCTCAAACTATAACATTCCCCCATCCAACTATAACATTCCCCCCATCCAACTATAACATTCCCCCATCCAACTATAACATTCCCCCCTCAAACTATAACATTCCCCCATAAAACTATAACATTACCCCCATCAAACTATAACATCCCCCCATCAAACTATAACATTCCCCCATCAAACTATAACATTCCCCCATAAAACTATAACATTACCCCCATCAAACTATAACATTCCCCCATCAAACTATAAATTTCCACCAACTAATGATAACTCTCCACCATCTAAAAATAACTTCCACCATCTAATGATAACATTCCCCCATGAAACTATACCATTCCCCCATCATACTATAACCTTCCACCATCTAATGATAACATTCCCTCATCAAACTATAACATTCCCCATCATACTATAACCTTCCACCATATAATGATAACATTCCCTCATCAAACTATAACATTCCCCCATCCAACTATAACATTCCCCCATCCAACTATAACATTTCCCCATCCAACTATAACATTCCCCCATCCAACTATAACATTCCCCCATCAAACTATAACATTCCCCCATCCAACTATAACATTCCCCCATCCAACTATAACATTCCCCCATCAAACTATAATATTCCCCCCTCAGACTATAACATTCCCCCATCAAACTATAACATTCCCCCATCAAACTATAACATTCCCCCATCCAACTATAACATCCCTCCATCAAACTATAACATTCCCCCATCCAACTATAACATTCCCCCCATCCAACTATAACATTCCCCCCTCAGACTATAACATTCCCCCATCCAACTATAACATTCCCCCATCCAACTATAACATTCCCCCATCCAACTATAACATTCCCCCCTCAGACTATAACATTCCCCATCCAACTATAACATTCCCCCATCAAACTATAACATTCCCCCATCCAACTATAACATTCCCCCATCAAACTATAACATTCCCCCCTCAGACTATAACATTCCCCCATCAAACTATAACATTCCTCCCATCCAACTATAACATTCCCCCCTCAGACTAGAACATTCCCCCATCCAACTATAACATTCCCCCATCAAACTATAACATTCCCCCCATCCAACTATAACATTCCCCTCTCAGACTAGAACATTCCCCCATCCAACTATAACATTCCCCCCATCCAACTATAACATTCCCCCATCCAACTATAACATTCCCCCCTCAGACTATAACATTCCCCCATCCAACTATAACATTCCCCCATCCAACTATAACATTCCCCCCTCAGACTATAACATTCCCCCATCAAACTATAACATTCCCCCATCCAACTATAACATTCCCCCATCAAACTATAACATTCCCCCATCCCCAGCTGGACGAAAACCTAAAACCAGCTCTAAACATGTCAATCCAACACGAATACCAAGGCTTCATCGATTCGACCAATAGATTCTCCCTATCCCTAGACCGGGCCCATGTAAAGGTAAGCAATGCTTCATTCTATCATTCAGCTACAGGTAAGATATGCACCCCAATAGATTCTCCCTGTCCTTAGATCGGGCACACGTTAAGGTAAGCAATGTTTCATTCTATCATTCAGCTACAGGTAAGATATGCACCCCAATAAATTCTCGCTTCACTTAGATCGAGTGCAAGCAAGGGTAAGTAATGCGTCATGCTATCATAAAGCTTTATGTGATATATGGTTGCTGTGGAACTTTACAGTCGTCGTTTTCGATAAAGGAGTTTGGTACTTTACTCTTAAAGTATGGGTGTTACCTGTATTTGAAACTACAATCCTTACTTCGTATAAAAAGCGAATGATCAGAGGCGTCGCGAGGCGGTGGCGGGGGTGCGGGCCCCACCGGATGACACCATTTAGTGGCGTAACACCAAGACCAAATATAATTTTTATAGAATAAATATATATTTTGCCAGTTCAATGAATGGTTATTTAGAGTTAAAAAAGTATTTTAAGTACATAATTACGATCCCGACGAGGGAGGGATGGTTGACACCATGACGTAAACATGCAAACTATAGAGAAAACAATGCTACATCCAGCTGTATGAACAAGCGACTATAGATAAACATCATTAGTATTAGATGTGAACACTTTAAAGAATTTACCGGGTGGGAGGGGGGGGGGGGGGGGGGAAAGAGACACCAACTGCAGAATTTTTCTAAGAAAAATAAGGGGGGGGGGGTGACACCATGAAGTGCCGCACCGGGTGACACCCGACCTAGAGAAGCCACTGCGAGTGATTACTATGAAATAAATCTAAATTCATTTTCGAAACTTTTTAATTTTGACATTTAGCTATCTGTATGGCAACATCTCCTCTAATGCTATGTATATATTCGTCTCTTGTCTTCGTTTGACTGGATATATATATATATATATATATATATATATATATATATATATATATATATATATATATATATATATATATATATATATATGCATACATATTATATATTCTACTATTCTACAGTTTGAATGCTGCGGACTTAACAGTTACAATGACTACCACGAATTTGCTGAAGATTGGAAAGACAGATTTTCCCTAAAGGTAGGTTACAATACATCACATGTAGGTTAAAATACATCAAATGTAGATTATAATATATTAAAGGTAGGTTACAATACATTAAAGGTAGGTTACAATGCATTAAAGGTAGGTTACAATACATCAAAGTAGGTTACAATACATCAAAGGTAGGTTACTTGACCTCCTTAAATGTAGGGCGAAAATGTGGTCAGTACTTTGCCCTGAAGCCTTTACTTTTCCTAAAATGAGTTAGGTAACCATTAGAGCTGGGTTCTTCTATTGACTTGCACCCGGATTCGAACTCGAGATTTTCGGGTTAACTGCCTACCGCTCACCCGCTTATGAATAACTGCTGTTAATAAGTCTTGGTATAAAACACTTGTGTATATTTTCTTTCAACTTTAAACGGAAAACAAACAAAAAATTTTAAAAATTAAAAAAAAAAAAAAATCATTAAAAAAAAAACTCTACTAGTACAATTCTACTCCAAGACGTAAACCAACGATGTCTAGTCCACTGACCTTCTGTTTCAGATCCCCAAGACATGCTGCAAGCTAGTAGACAAGGATTTGTACCTGGACAACAGACAGTTTACCTTTGTTAACCGCACATGCGCTAGAGAACCCAACCCATCGATCTCAAACTTGAATAAAGTGAGTGTGTTCGTTTGTTCAATTGTTCGGGTGTTTGAGTGTTCGGGTGTTTGGGGGTCATCCATAAATGACGTCACACTCGTAGGGGTCCGTAATTTTGTGACGATGTGTGAATAGGGGGAGCGGGGGGGTGTTCAGCTGTTGCGACGTCACATTTTTGCATTATACTCTTCTTCTTCTTCTTCGTTCTTAATTATTAGTGTTGAAAGGGGATCGAGATTTATCTGCCAGTGGGTTTGAACTCGAATTTTTGTTCGAATTTATCAACCATGAGCTTTTTGCCGACTCGACCACGCCTCCAACACAATTAAGCGTTACGTGTCAACTGGTTATGCGCCATTGAGGCCATTGACTCCGATTTCAGCCTGCTTTTCTTTCTGGATTTGCTTCCATAGCCTTTGTCCAACCAAGAACAAACTACAAGGCAGCAGTTGTTTAATGTTGGAGTTGTCTCTCCTAGAAGAGTGGCTGTCCCCAGCTAACGAGCCTCATCTGCCCGAGGGTTCGAACTCGAGACTTTTCGGTTTAGCAACCATGAGCTTTACCGACTCGACCACGACGACCCCTTGCATTATACAAAAACCAATGTTAGAAAACGAATTTTAGACGTTATTTCGCGTTTTAGATACCTGTTTTAATAAATTGTAATAGTGACGTCATTTATGGATGACCCCTTGAGTGTTCATGTGTTCATGTGTTCAAGTTCATGTATGTTCTGTTCAAGTATTCGTATGATCTGTTCAAGTATTCGTATGTTCTGTTCAAGTATTCTTATGTTCTGTTCAAGTATTCGTGTGTTCTGTTCAAGTATTCGTATGTTCTGTTCAAGTATTCGTGTGTTCAAGAATTCGTGTTTTCTGTTCAAGTACTCGGTTGTTTATTCGCGTGTTCATATGTTCATGTGTACACGCAGTCAAATATTCGTGTGCACAGTGTGTACAAATATTCTTAGAAACAGATTTATTGTATTAACTCCCCTATTATCCTCCGTGTCCGATGTGGTAACTTGTGTATGCCAATAATTGGTTAGTTCGTGATATACTGTAACCCTACTCCAGTGGCGTATCTACCGTAAAGCTAGCGTAAGCAAGGCATAGGGGCCCAAGGCAAATAGGGGCCCTTTTTTCGAAAATTTGAGGGGGGGGGGGTGCAAATCGAAAGTCTGAGGGGGGGTGTAAATCGATCAAAAGTTTGTCCCCGGTCGCCGGGAAGGGTCGCTACGCCTCTGAGGGGCCCACTAACACTTTTTGCATATGGGCCCAAAAATCCTAGCTACGCCACTGCCCTACTGTCTGCTGCTAATACACTTTTTTGACAAATTAAAGGCATTTTAATTTAGAACAGGGGTCTCCAAACTTTTCAGTCCGAGGGCCGCATTAACTATCAAATTTCAGGCATGTCTTTGATTTTTCTGGGCAAAGTTCCTCAGCCATCACCAACAAACGATTTTTCCTTGGAGAAAAATATCTCAGCGGGCCGGATGAGAGGACTTCGCGGGCCGCATTTGGCCCGCGGGCCGTAGTTTGGAGACCCCTGATTTAGAACCATCTATTCAGCATCATTTTTATCTCCTTTTGGTGTTCTTGTGTAGACCATTTGAGAACTATGCTTATAAACGAACCTAATCAAACCCATTGAAATGCAACCCTGCTTAGCAAGTGAACATCTGACTTATAGACTTTCAGATACAACATAATCTGTAATAAGCTCATAACTGGGAACTGTTGTGTATAATTTGTCATATCAAGCCTTGTCAAACAGAATAAGGTTGTCCAACTTATCTCAAACTTTTCTTATAGACCACGTATTCTTCTTAGCTTTACTAACGGACCCTTCCTTTTTAAGGCTTCATTGCAGTTGTATTTGCTTGCCTTGACAACTCCCTAGCTTCCGCCTTTTTTGCTAATTCAATAATTGAATTAGTTCAAAAAGTATGTTCTAAAATAAGTTAAAAATAACTTTAAATTATCGTTCGGCTCAGAGGCGTAGCGACCCTTCCCGGCGCCCGGGGACAAACTTTTCGATTTGCAACCGCCCTCCTCAAAATTTCGATTTGCACCCCCCCCCCCCTTCTCAAGATTTCGATTTTCAACCCCCTCAACCTTTCAATTTATTTTTCCAACCCATTTTGGCACCCCTAAGGTCGGCGCCCGGGGACATATGTCCTCCCCCCCCCCCGCTACGCTACTGGTGCGGCTCAATTTAAAAACGATGTACATCTCACACATTGCAATACTAACGTATGGTGAATTTTGAAGCTGATTCTAGAACTAAGTTTGAATAAACCGGGAGTGATCTCCCCTAAACTTTCTCGAATATTCTAATATAACACTACAGGGGATGGCAACTCGGGATATAGACTTCTAGACATGATTTTTAATCCATTTTAAATACTCACATTTCTTAAAATAGAATATAATCTCGTAGAAAAAAGAAATGCACACCAAGTGAACGCTAAATAAAAAAGCGCATAATAGTGCGGAATATTATTAGTACTTTATAAATTTACATGCGTTTTTTGAGAAATCGGAAATAGCGTAAATAAGTACTTCCGGTCAACGAAAATTACTCAAAATTTGACAGAAGGTAGAGAATTAGCTCTTTTACTTGCATATCAAATTTCATTTATCCATCTGAAATAGTACTCAAGTTATAGGCTTTTGAAAAATTCAAAGTAGAAAAAGTACCACTTCCGGTTATCGGAATTCGCTCAAAAGTTGATACGGATCTACGATTTTGATAAAATACTTATATATGAAATTTCACCAGCCTAGCTGTAACGGTACTCAAGTTATCGTGTTTACACACGGACACACAGACACACAGACACACACACAGACATACGGACAAGATTGCAAAATTATGTTTTTCCGTATCAGTGAGGTGTAAAACGTCGAGATTTGTAAAAATCTCGATTTTTTTTTTTTGCACGATTATAATACTTTCTCTATACTACGTATATACGAGAAAGTAAAAAAGGGAAGTTTGTTATTTCAACTGATTCGGAGGGCTTATAAAAAGAAAGTGTGTTTGGCCATATTGTAAATAGATAGGAAAAAAGTAAGCCAAGAAAGTCACGATCTCATTATTAGTTCATATCTGTAGTAGCCTCTCATTTCTTGCAGACTTCGGTCGAAATAATTCTATACAAATATTTGTTTTAAATAATTTTGCATTCATATGTATATATATATATATATATATATATATATATATATATATATATATATATATATATATATATATATATATATATATATATATATATATATATATATATATACATATATATATATATATATATATATATATATATATATATATATATATATATATATATATATATATATATATATATATATATATATATATATATATATATTTGTGTGTGGGGGGGGGGGGGACCTATGAATACACTTTGGTTTAAGTTACCGGGATTCCACATACAGAAATCGATATAGCCAACACAAATTTCCTCTCATGTCAATCCAATGTTGGCACTCTGGCAGATACCTGTCCAAATGATTGTCATGTCATTTTACTTTGGCTGTTCCCATGTGTGTCATTTGCTTGACAAGAAACGGGGTTGGGGGGGGGGCAAGTTGTTAAGGGCAAGTAAATTATATATATATATATATATATATATATATATATATATATATATATATATATATATATATATATATATATATATATATATATATATATAGATAGATATAGATATATATCCAACAGAAGCTACTTACCAGTTGATTAAAAAGATAGTCGACATACAAGTTTTCTGAATGTCTTTATTTAAATTTGTGTCTTCTTTTGCTCGAATGAAATAACTTAGCGTGATATATTTTCTGTTTAATTTTATTTTTGTTCTTTTCGTTTTACAACAAATTTCCTTGTTGATTTCTTACTTTCTGGACTGTCTCTAATATGAAGGGATGGTGTGGGCAGCACTATGCCCAGCTGCCTTTGTTTCCTGAGTCCTAACCCATCAGAGCTGGGCGGACCCCAGAGGCGTAGCGACCCTTCCCGGCGCCCGGCACAAATTTTCAATTAGGCGCCCCCTCCCCCCCCCCCCCCCCCCCGTCAAACTTATGATTTGCACCCCCCTCAAACTGCAAAAATGCAGCTAAATTGACATTTTAATTTCTTTTTACAACCCATTTTGGCGCCCACTAAGGTCGGCGCCCGGGGACATATGTACCCCCCTGCCCCCCCCCCCATCGCTACGCCTCTGGGACTCAGGGACCCCGGTTAGCAGTCAACCGCTAGGCCATGTCGTCCTTAACTACTAAACTTACTTCCAATCTATGTCTATGTTTAGGCCTACTTACAAAACTTTCAGCAGCAACACCAATGATTATTTCTAACTACTAAACTTACTTCCAATCTATGTCTATGTTTAGGCCTACTTACAAAACTTTCAGCAGCAACACCAATGATTATTTTTAACTACTAAACTTACTTCCAATCTATGTCTATGTTTAGGCCTACTTACAAAACTTTCAGCAGCAACACCAATGATTATTTTTAACTACTAAACTTACTTCCAATCTATGTCTATGTTTAGGCCTACTTACAAAACTTTCAGCAGCAACACCAATGATTATTTTTAACTACTAAACTTACTTCCAATCTATGTCTATGTTTAGGCCTACTTACAAAACTTTCAGCAGCAACACCAATGATTATTTCTAACTACTAAACTTACTTCCAATCTATGTCTATGTTTAGGCCTACTTACAAAACTTTCAGCAGCAACACCAATGATTATTTTTAACTACTAAACTTACTTCCAATCTATGTCTATGTTTAGGCCTACTTACAAAACTTTCAGCAGCAACACCAATGATTATTTTTAACTACTAAACTTACTTCCAATCTATGTCTATGTTTAGGCCTACTTACAAAACTTTCAGCAGCAACACCAATGATTATTTTTAACTACTAAACTTACTTCAGTAACATCCCTATTCATTTTTTAATTAGACTTCCTACAACATTATTCCTGTTTAATATTAACCTAATTAACATCCTACAGCGATATTCATAATTATGTTTTACTGACTAGATTTGCTAAACAGATATCCGTGTTCATTTTTTACTTTCTAGACTTTCTACAATGATATCCATGATTTAGTTTTCCTTACTAGACTTGCTAAAAATATTTATATTTTTTTTTGTTGTTTTTTTTTTACTTACTAGACTTACTTAAAATATATTCTTATTTACTTTTTTCTTCCTAGACTTGCTACAACGATATCCACAATTGGCTTGATGAGAGGATTGTTGTGATCCTAGCCATGACAGTTGTGTTTGCAGGTATACAGGTAAGTGACAGTTTGTGGCATGTCCGTGTGACATTTTGAAAGCCTACACGTTCAAAATAAAAGTTGTTATTTTTATGTAGACCTATGTGTATCATTATGTGATGTATCCGTGAAAGCTTATATTTTTGTTGAGTTTGTGTGTGTTGTTTTTATGTGTTTATATTCCTGTTTAGTTAAGTTTAGTGTGTTTGTTGTTGGCTGTATTTATGTGTTTTTATGTTGTGTCGATGTGTTCTTGTTTATTGTATGTGTTAATGTGCTATACTCCGTGTGTTTATGCTCTTATTTTTCTGTGTGCTAATCTTTATATTGCAGTGAATTGTATATGTTTTTAATTTGTCGTTATTATGTGTGTTTTCTGGCTTTTGTTCTGTGATTGTTTTTTTGTGTTTAGGTTTGTGTGTGTTTCCGTGTGTGTTCTACCTGTTCGTTGCTTGCGTGCTTTTGTGTTTTAGTTGTCTGTGTTGTTTCCGCATGTGTCATGTCAGTATTTAAATATCTGATGGTTGGATAAGGTCAACGATCTTATGTATAACAGGTAGTGTCAGTTACGTTAAAGGTAGTTATTTATAGAAGTAAGAGTGAGGCTTTGCGACAGTTAGCGACATTTACGATGTCTTATATAGCTGGGTCAGTTAGTGTTGGGTTAGTAAGTTGAGTCTTAGAGATAGTGTGAGTGAAAGATGGGCTTATGACATTTGGGACAGAGAGTTGGGTCACTTTAGGGGTCATCCATAAATGACGTCATACTCCTAAGGGGGACTGGTGAATGTAATTTTGTAAAAGGTGTGTGATGAGGGGGGGGGGGGGGGGGTTCAGATGATGTGACGTCACACTTTTGCATTATAAAAGAGCAATGTTAGAAAACGAATTTTAGCCGTTATTTCGCGTTTTAGTAAACTGTTTTAATCAATTGTAATATGGATTGATTAAAATAATATATGTTGACAGAGTTCAGACAAGATTTTGGAAAAATTACGTATTTAAAGAAAAATTCAACTGCGATTTAGAGGGGGTTGTAGGCTGAGGTGTGACGTCATTTTAGCGGGAGGGGGGGGTCTGGGTTTTTGTGACGATGTGACGGATGGGAAGGGGGGGGGAGGTAAAAATCGTCCAAAAAAGCGTGACGTCATTTATGGATGACCCCTTATTGGATAAGACAAATAGGTCACTTTGTTTGATCGGAGGATCGAGTCACTGAAGTGAGTAGATATTTTTTTTTTAAATCGGGGGACATAATTCGTCAGTTTGACCTCATTTATTCTTGTAATCCAACCTATCGGCTTCATTACAGGAAATACATATTGTTGTCAATATTATCATAACTTTAAGATATTATTGAAAGTAATTTAATAGATTTAAATATTTTCTGTTTCAGTTTTTTGGAGTTATCTTTTCATTGTGTATCATCCGGGCATTACGTGGGAAAGAATACTACTGAAAATAACGAAACAAAACAAAAGTGAAATGATTCGCCGCTTTGATGAAATGCCAAAAACAAAAACCAACAATCATGTAAACCACATAAAAGCTTAGCAGCTAAAGAATCGTACCTTAAGTTTTACATAAGTGGAATTTCGCGATGTTGTGGACATTTCTGCCTTCTGTTGCTGTTCTGCTACATATTTTAACATTTTAGCCAGATAAATTACTCTCATGTGACATTTGCAATGATGCCAAATAAGCCATCTTGACTTACATGTACAGATGTGAAAACGGGTTTTGAGGTACTTTCTTTTCATTGTGGATATTATTTTTTTGTGAGGACTACAGGTTTAGACTGTCTGCAGGAATGTGTTTCTGTATGTGGTTAATTAATTTTGGGCTTAAAATTATAAATATAAACTAATCAACCTGTAACATAGAACAATAGTTTTGGGAGTTAAACAAAATAAGATATGTTATTATTATGCTTTGACTGGAATCTTCCTTCAGATATTAAAAGACAAGCTAAGTGGTTTGCAACAATATATTTAACGGCTTTTATTCCTGATGGATAAAGACATTTGGTCGAAACAGTGTTAATGTTAAACGTTGATCTTCTAAAGTCGTTGATTGCAGAAGTGTGGGTCTGTGTATTGCAGGATTGTGGGTCTCTTTGGGTCCCTGTGTATTGCAAGATTTTTTTGGTCCCTTTGGGTTCCTGTGTATTGCAGGATTGTGGGTCCATGTGTATTGCAGGATTGTGGGTCCCTGTGTAGTGCAGGATTTTGGGTCCCCATGTAATGCAGGATCGTGGGTCCCTTTGGGTCCATGTGTACTGCAGGGTTTTGGGTCCCTGTGTATTGCAGGATTTTGGGTCCCTATGTAACGCAGGATTGGGGGGGGGGGGGGGTAATGTATGTAGTGCAGGCCTGTATTGTATTTAAATCAATTTTTATGTTGCCTAATAGGAAGTTAAGTTAAATCGTCCCTGGTATTTGTATGTGGGATTTGTGTTGGTATAATGTAACCTACATATAACTCTTTTTTATCATTCTATAATGGTTACGGTTGCATTGCATAAAGGTGATCTAACTTTCACTAGTCACAATGAATAGTCAGTTTTTCTGTTTTCTTTGGTCTGCATTATTTCCTTTTGTTTAAAAAATTGCCTAGATTAACATATGGGACAGTGTGGTCAAATGGTAGAGTGCTGTTAACTTGAAACTCTCAAGTTCGAATCCCAAACTTGTGTCAGTAAGACGTCCAAGAGTCCACCATGTTCTGATGGGTACCTGACTTACATTAGGGAAAGTATAAGTGGCTGGGCTTAGTGCTGACTGTATAATCCCCTCGAATGTCGTGGTCACTGAAACAGGTGAACTCTACTTCATCTGCCTGCCAGAGTACTTTACTTAGTTTAAAATCAAATATCAATAACGTAACCATTTTTTTCCTTCCTTAACATGTAATTTATAGCGTCAGTTGTGAGTTCGCTTTAGTATTACAGTTTTCATCAGCGGCTTGTGAGGACTGATGCAGATTTACAATAGTAATATTTCTTTCTTACTTAAAATCGTAATGTTCGAGTTTTCAAAATATTGCCAGTGCATACACGTTACTTTTTTAAACATTTAATTAGTGAAATAAAATTAAGCTTTCTCACCCATTCCCACCCACTAAATATCCCCCACTTTAATAAATTGAGGTATTCATACTTAACATATGCCACCATCGCCACTCTTCCACAATACTTCAAATATGTCTTAAAATGATCCGCCCACTTACAATACGTCAACATTCAGTTTTAATTTATGCCAACACTAGCAAATTACCTCCCTTACACTTACATTGTGAAAATATAACTTACGGGATGATTGTTATTTATTCTTATTGTTTCGCTATACCACGACTAAGTTTTAACATATTACCTTGTATATGTAAATAATTCCTGTGACTCCTAATAAAGTATTGTATGTTTATTTTTATTATTAGAACTGGGCTGATGTAAGTCCTTGAGTGACCACGCTTTTTCAGCTTTCACCCTCACCCAATCGCTATACAAATGCAGCCCTTTTGTATTTCTCCCCCCCCCCCCCACCATAATTCTGATTACAAAATAGATGCATCCCTACCACCCCCTCCACAGTCATTTCATTTCATTCCACCCCCCCCCCACCCCATTAGTGTAGTGTCCAATTAAGGACGACCCACCCACCCCTTCCTCACATCCACTCATTTTATTCCACGCCCCCTCCCCCACCCATTAGTGTAGTGTCCAATTAAGGACGACCCACCCACCCCTTCCTCACATCCACTCATTTTATTCCACGCCCCCTCCCCCACCCATTAGTGTAGTGTCAATTAAGGACGACCCACCCCCACCTATTACTTAATTCAATTTGTCAATGTATTTTAATATGTCCAAAACTATGTTCACTATAATAAAATGCACGTGTTATATTGTAGGCAGGGGTCGTGGAGGTCAGAACCTGAGTGTTACCTGGGAAGTAAATACTAGTAGAGAGGGGGGGGGTTATTTTAAATTGACTAGAGGGGGGGAGGGGGTAATTTTAAATTGACTAGAAGGGGGGGGGGGGGAATTTTAAATTGACTAGAAGGGGGGTAGCTTAGGCGTGATGGTTAATAATTATGGAGAAAGGGGTTGGCGTGGTCGAGTCAGTTAAGCTCATGGTTGCTAAACCGAAAAGTCCCAAGTTTGAACCCTCGGGCAGATAAGGCTCGTTAGCCTAGGAGAGACAACTCCGAAATCAAACAACTGCTGCCCTGTAGTTTGTTCTTGGTTGGACAAAGGCTATGGAAGCAAACCCAAAAAGAAAAGCAGGCTGAAATCGGAGTCAATGGCGCTTAACCAGTTGACATAAAATACTTACATTGAGAACGATGAAGAAGATTATAGAGAATATGGATATGCTTATTAAAATCAGCTTTTGGTATAATTTTATTTCAAATGAGCCAGGGAAAAGTGTGGGGAGGGGGGGGGGGGCTGCTGCTAGCAGAATCAAGTGTGACTCCACAGCCCCTGTACCCTGGGGATGCCAATGGTCTCTTTCTGGTATTTGTTATTATTTATTGATCAAATGTTGGTTTATCAAAAACATGTACTAAAAAATTTATACAAAATAAAAGTGTAAACATCTTTAAAGTCTAATTGTTTTTAATTCAAAATGTTTTTCATGAAATTTGACCAATCAAATTATTATTTATTATGTACTAAGTAAATTAAATTATTTCCGTCTATATATAAAAAAATTGCAATCTTAACCAAAACCAAAACTTATTTTTCATTACTTACATAAAACTCAATAAAAGATAATTTTAAGGGAGTTTTTGTAGATCTTGATACAAGACAAGTCATATAAACACATGGGATAGCATTAACGACAATAAAAATTTAAATCAATGTTCTAGTTGAAAACATCATCAGTTACCACAGAGCATAAGTTAAATACAAGAGAGACTAGTATAAAATATAGACTTGGTATCTCAGTCTTGTTATGCTAAGAACTATTGATTATGTCTGCTTTAAAGTTAAAAACAGACAACTTTTAATTTTGTTGAACATTTTGAATTTTTTTATCCAGACTTTTATTTATTACTTTTAACTAACAAAATAACTTATGCTTGAATAAATTGTTTTACATCTCAGTGCTTCAAAAAAACAGAACATTGAATTTAACAAACAAAGAGATAGCAGGTTGACTAATATATTCAGTTTGATTCATAGAAGAATCAAAATTTTGACTTTTGAAAAAAAAAGATACTAGAAGTGTTTGCAATTTGTGATTTTCTACATATAATACAAGCTAAAATAAGAGCATCATTCACTCAAGTTACAACTTTTAATTTTCTACAAATAATACAAGCTAATATAAGAGCATTATTAACTCAAGTCCCACAACACATTGATTTATACAGGAGTCAAATAGTTTCAAAGTAAAAGAAAACAGCATGTTACACAGGCCCAACAGTCAGGAGTTGATCCAATCAACTCTGCCTGTTTACATTAATTTAATGAACCACAATCTAAGTTTTGCTCTATGCATTTTATACTTTAATTAGCAGACCAAAACTACACATAATTCCGATGTATATTCTTTATTCTTATTCTTAGATTAAATAATATTTTTGATTTATATCCAACAAGACAAATTGATTTGTAGAATGAGCGACATGAGGCTGTCCCTGGAAATGCTAAACCCTGGTATTAGCAATAGTAAATCTGCCACTAACACTACATAACAACCTTAATTAACTTAATAGTATGTCACCAACCGTATGTCACATTTGATAAGCCACTAACCATATGCCCCAAATAGTCCACCACATACAAACATTATGCCCCAATAAGTTCATCACTATGTAAACACCTCAGACAGTACGCCAATATCAGTATACCCTTAACAGTATGCCCCAAATAATACACATAATGCCTGAAATGATACATCACAAGAAAGAGCAACAGCAGTTTGTAAACTTAAAAAAAAAGATATTGTGTGTCTTATGACAAATTTTGTGGATTGTATACTCACAAATCAGTTCGTACTATACATAGAAATTTCTATCAATGCAAAAGACATTAGATTTTTGTACAAATAAACAAATAGCAACAAACAAATTATATATAATACGAGAAATTATGATCATGTATAAACAACAGAAACATCTAATAACATTTTGACACTACATGATGGAATGAGTCACTTTGTGCACCTCCAACCGTTTTGATCCAAAGCTGAGGAGGTCATCTGGGACAACAGTTTTTGAGATTTTAATTATTTCTACTAACTTACTTTTTAAGATTTTATTCATTTCTAATAAATTAATTTTTGAAGATTTTAGTTATTTCTAATAAATTATTTTTTAAGATTTTATTTATTTCTCATAAATTAATTTTTAAGAATTTAGTTATTTCTAATATATTAGTTTTAAAGATTATAGTTATTTCCAATAAATTACTCATTTGAGAGCACATTTCCATGGGGCAATTTAAAAAATATCTAACTTAATGTGATCAGATTGTCTTATACAAATACAGATGGTATTCAGAAGTCAGACTTGATATTTGATATTTCTCAGAGCTATCTTTTACACATAATTAACAGTAAATTTATCATTACACAAGGATAATGGTTGGATTCCCAACAGTTGTCACACCATTGAAATCAGAGTTAAAAATGTTTAATGATTGGTCACAAAAATCAACTACAGGTGTATAAGTGACTCAATGCACCAGGCAATGAAGCAAATTTGAAATCTGTATCGAAATTATTTCTTTCAAAAAAAACGATTCGTCTCATAATCACTATAAAATAAATAGTTTTTCAAAACTACTTATTTGGCCCTAAAGTTCTATTTACGACAATCTCATATACAAATCCAGTCCATCGTAATATAAAAAGTGACCCATTCATTATAAATACCACACTGCGTTACTATGGTTTCAAGACACATCCAAGACAGGGAAGACAGTCTCCAGCAAATCTTCCTGCCGCCTGAGGATGGCAGGGACGGCCGTGCTGATGACCACGCCCAGCTCGCTGATCAAACAGGTGATGTACTTGGACCCCGTGAGGTCGTACATGATGTTGGACAGCCCCAGACCCAGCTGCTGGTGGTTGCAGAGGATGGGGATTCTGTTGCCGATTTTGACCAGATCTGTTGTGGCTGGAGGAAGATAAACAGATACAGTTACACCCTTTTTACAATTTCCAAAAAAATAAAAATAAAAACTACTTCATAACAAATTTTAATAAGTATGTAAAAAACATTAAAAATAACAGGATATATATTTTGAATAGTGTAGTAAAAGCATTGTTTGACAAAAGATATTTCATGAGTGATCAACAAATTTACTATATTTAAAGATCTGCAGTTATTTTGACCTAAAAAGGGTTGTAGAAGAAAGTAAAGTTTAAAATTTGTAGCATTACATTTACAAAACCAATCACTAGCGGAAATACTTTTTTTAAAGAGTTATTTTGCTAAATCTGAGTTTTTAAATGATATATCGAACATGATTATAGATATTGCCAGAGCAGCTATATATTGTGGTGTTAACTGCTTGCAGTTTTACATATACTTGATTGTTTTTTTTATTATAATAAAGCACTTGAATAAATGCAATTTTTCTACACATTTTAGTCCAATGCAGTAGTTGTACAACACTTACTAAAAAAAAGGTTATTCTAGTATTAATTTAATCCACGATTTTGGTAGAAAACTGTAAGTTGTTTTCATTTTTAAAGAATAAAAATTGTACTATTAAAATAAGTTTGATCACTAGCCCATCAATATAAATGTAGTTTGTCCCTGTGAAAGGTAACTATTCTTTGTGTTTAAAACCACATAATTTTCTTTTTTAACCCTTTGAGCCCTGGCCTCCCTGACCTAATTTCTCCTATTTCCCGAGCTCGCAGGCCCAAACTGATTTTCACTTATCTGCTTCTAACTTTGCCTATAACTTTTGAACCGTTTGAGATAATCAAGCCAAATTTGGTATCCAGACTCAGGATCCAACAACAATGCAGCAAGATTCTAAAACTCATTTTTTTAACAATGTTTGAACAGAACAATGTATATCAACGAACACATAATTATTGTTTTGATAGAACATAGAAGAAACCAATTTACATTTAGTAATTGTTTTCTTATTATTGATACCTGGCCATACTAGTTCAACACCAGAAGTCCACTTTTGTGTGATAAATTTCAAAACATTCATCACTGCAAAGAAAAAATTCGCATTTTTTGCACCAGTAAACATTTTTTTTTCGTTTCGGCAAGTCTTTATCCTTGACACCACGTGCATCAGAACGTACTTGAACAGTTTCATTATCACTGTCAATTTCAATGTCACTGTGTTCAGTCTCAAATTCAACGTCACTATCATCACAATATAGACAGGAATATTATCTTCTTCATCAGAATCAATAAGTAGTTGTATTGCCTGAGATGCAGTCATTCTACTTCTTTTGTTGATATTTCAGTCTTTTGCTTCATCTTTTGTGCCAACTTTATGTGATGAAGTCGACGGCTGTAGCTCAGCTTTTCGTTTCGGCGGCATTGCTACGAAATGTAAACACTTTCACTTTTCCTAAAAATCAATTTTTAAAATCATAATCCAGCACTCAAAAGACATGCGCAGTTTTAGTCAGTCTTCCGCTAATTATATTTAATTAACGGTATACCGGCCGCTAGGAATATGACGCTAGATCATCGGGCCGGAAAACCGGCTTTTCAGACATATATGCCTAATGTTGAAGCTGGTGTACCGGCCTGGCGGGCTCAAAGGGTTAAATAAATAAATCAATACTTTAATATTCATGTGTAGATCAAAGAAAAAGGATATGATCCTTATTACAGATTAGGTAATGTACAAAATCTATAGACAAATAATTCTGGTAGTAAAAGTTAAAAAGTTGGATCATTTTAAAAAGAAACAAAAGTTGAGATGGCTAACCATGTAAATTATTATCCCCAGAGCTGAGCTGGACCTTGTCTGTGAACTTGTACGTCTCACAACAGACCAGGACTGGGATCTTGTTGGCCTTGGCCAGAGCGGCAATGATGGAGTTGCCACACCTGGAGTACATGTCACCTGTGGCAAACATGGCGGCAGCACCCAGGAAAACTTTGGTCACCTAGGTGGGATAACCCAGGGAAATCAATGGAAGGGCATTAATGGGAGAAAATAATGACATAAGAATAATGACTTGATTGGATTCACAAAGATAGATGACTCATAAAACAATGACATAAGAATAATGACATAAACAGATTCACAAAGGTAGATGACTCATAAAACAATGACATAAGAATAATGACATAAACAGATTCACAAAGGTAGATGACTCATGAACAAAGCTTTTGAGGGTTATGTGACAAAATGTAATGAAAGTAATGAAAAAACTTCATAAAACAATGATACGTAAAATCACTGAATAATGATTACAGAGAAAAGACAATGACACAAAATCAATCACATAAACCCATGACATAAAATCATTAACATAAAACAATGACACATGAGCAGTGCCGGCGCCAGGTTATTTAGCGCCCTAGGCAAAACTTATTAAAACGCCCTCTTTCACACAAATTAATTACTAAAACATATGTATAAGAAAATTATTCATTAAAAGTGACGTATTAATTTATTATCAATTGCAAACACGTTACAGGTAGAAATCAAAATCTAACTTTATTTGCCTCCTTCGTCTCAAACGTTTGTACTAATTCCTTCAATTCGAGTATGCAAACGTTATTACATTCTATTGAAACTGTCTCTAAGTCCATGAGTCTACTTTGTACTTTCATCATAGCCTCCCCCTCCCCCTTAGAAAATTTTAAGTGCCTCCCCCACTTCCAAGAAGAAAAAAGTCTGGAAAAAAAACAACTTAAAAAAAGTTCTTGTAGTGTTGGGCTCTCTGCAGCCCTCCCAAGGTGAGCTCTAAAACTGAACTTACCTGTTTTAAGTTTGACTGTCTTTAGTTATAATTTTAATTATTAATATGTCTATATTGTGTGATTATGTAACGATTTTTTTTGTTTTTGAAAAATAAAAAGTTATAAATGTTATAGATTCCAGCCTAGTATTGTTAAATATGAATCCTTTAGGAGAGGGTGAAAAATATGAAAAGACAATTAATTAGATGTTTAATTTACGACTAAGACTGTATGTCTACTAACATTATGTATTGCAATCTTAACAGCTATTGATGTATTTGTTTTTCAACTTGATAATGCTAAAAAACCTACCAAACTGTTTTGTTTAGAACTTCTGCTCTATATAATTTTTACAATAGCAAATAATAACTTAAAGTTGTATTTATATGTAAGGGGTCAACCTAAGGTGCAGGAATTTGGAATGAATGTAAAGAAGCAACGAATTATCTCCCATTTGAAAATATACATACCAAAATTTTATTCAAGGGAAATAACTTTAACAAGAATAACTAAATTAACCAAGTGTAACTAAGACATGCTTGAAAAGCACAATAAAACGTTCTAAATTTCATTACGTAACAATTATAACAAATCTTTTGTATTAGCTATGTATACTTGTAAAAACAATATATTTTACCTATTGAATACTTAACTGTAGGTTTTGCTTGAAAGTCCCAAAGTAGTAGCTTTATTATAACATACTTCTATTCAACATTGATGACATACATTTAATTGTCTATATATGTATATTATAGATATAAAATTTTGGATCCCCTAAATAAAGGGACGCATTTCAAAAAATAATATACTGGGTAGCTGTTTTAGTCATTGATGGAATTATTGATTAAATATTAAAAAAAAATTATAATTTGAAAAAATAAAGTTTACGGTTGGTTATACATTCCATCCTATTTAATACTATAAATTAATACTTTAAGAGTGGTAATATAGATTCCTAAAAATATAAAGATTTTTTAACTAGAGAACCTCTACCTTTCTTTGTAGTGTGTTCTGTACTGAATTGAAATCATCTAACTTATGATAAACTCGACTACTCGATATGCTCTACTACATTCAGTACACATATTAAACTTCGATATTTAAACATAACTAGACTTGATGCTCCAGAACTACGACACCACCTCGTTTAACTTCACCAAGCTCTACAAATAATACTCCCAATCAACAACGATTTCACTGGACCTACTACTACACTTTAACAGTCAATATAATTTGATACCTTAATACCACAAGAATCAATACTCCTGAACTCCAGAACTAAAATAATTCATCACCTGCATTATCATTTCTCTATTACCAATCAGATTCCACGAGACCTTCAAATACAAAACAGCAGAATACAAATTATGATACTTTAACACTTCTATACTTTATACCTACATTACCATATCAGCAACAGCCTTCCGCCGTTACTCCCAAATCTAAACGATTCATCAAAACTTACCAAACAAGTGCAATAGTTTAAACACCCCGTCATTACAAAACTCTATACACCAGAACAGGAGGTGGGGTTTCATTTTCACCATCGCGAATAAATATAGGCCTATATAGACCAAATTTTGGGGTGGGGGTGCACAATTGATAGTTCTTCCTGGACACAGAAATAGATAGCTACTCCCTTATAAAAGTTATTAATTACGAGCCGACCCGCGGCATATAATATGCCGCTACTTAGTTGTTTTATTATCTTCTTTTCAGTGCTGCCACTGAAAATATTTACTTTAAAACACTATCAGTAGGTCGCTAAGGACGATACTACCCCCACCCTCCTTTCCCCCAACCCCTACCCTTCACCCCCCCCTCCATGAAAGCAGCCTCCTCTGAGTTACCTCCCCTAAGTTTAAAATCGTTAACTAAATTATTAGCCCCTAATAGCCGTCACTCAACCCAGCTCTACGATTGTAAACATTTAGCGTGAACCACAGCTCACCAGACCAAATGGGGGTGGGGAATCGTAGGGAGCGCTTACAGCTTGGTGTTTTCTATCGTCTCCAAGAAGAGAATTATATAGATAGATTAGGTACTTTTTGATAATAGCAATTAAACCTTTTTACGCCCCCATAAGGATGGCACCCTAGGCGACCGCCTAGTTCGCTTTATAAGTAGCGCCAGCCCTGCACATGAGATGAATGACATAAAATCAGTGATATAAAACAATGACACAAAATCACTCACATGAAACAGTGACATATGAAATTAATGACAAATGGAAATGCTTATTGTGTTGTTCTATCAACAGTAAAACCTGAGCATGCCATAAGATCACCAATGTAGTCATTTCAACAGATTATGATACCAATCCACACTTAGTACTAATTTAATAACTGACTGTTCTGCTACTGTACAGGGTGCAAAATCAGTTTATATCCCATATAAATGATTACTTATTCTATTATTTATTCTAAATAGACTGACTAATAATATGCTAGTTTTACCTGACTCATGACATACGTTGCAGAGCCGATGTAGACATAGGAACAAGGTATTCCACAGCGTACTAGATAACGTAGCATTGTTTTACCTGGCGAGAAAGTGGAGAGAAATGAGAGATATAAAAATGTTGTATAATACTGTTTTTTAGTCTGAATTGTAATCCTTCCTCACAAATTTGTTGTTGAAAGTGTATAACAGAGCAAAAAAAATGCTGCCCACACCTTCCCTTCATTTGCCGTGGTCAAGAAATATATGAACTCTACTTCATCTGCCCTATGAGATTAAGCGTGAGAAGACAAAGCATAAAAATTAATGATAGCTATTCCATTTCCACAGATCTTTCTTCTTTTTTCTTTAAGTGTACTTTTGAAAATGATTACCTTCAACACAATTAATTGTTACATTACATGTAACCTATAAACTTTACTACATCTGCCCTATGGATCGCTAGGAGTATAGAAAAACTTTACTTTTTAATATGTCAACCCATTTTGCGCCATTTAGGCTGTTGACTCCCATTTCAGCCTGCTTTTCTTACTGGATTTACTTCCATAGTCTATCAAGAACAAACTACAAGGCAGAACTATTCAATAAATGGGATCATATTGCTACAGAAAGAATGAAACTGTCACAAGATGATAGTAATGTCTACATCTCAGTGAAATCTACATGCACCTACACCATCAAATATCAACAAACGGATTAAATGTATTATAATAGCTTCTTTCTAACCATGACCTTCTACGATTACATAGCAACATTAACCAACAGATTAAAGGTATTAAAAGACTGACCTTCTGTGCGTGGCCTGCCTTCAACAACAATCACACGAAAACGTTTGCCTGCCTTGTGTGCTCTTGTTAAAACTTGCATTATTAGAGAGGACCTTCAAAAAATACATTATTCTGTCATTACTTGACATATCAGCAATATAGTATATCTTTTTATTATGAAAAGTAGAAAGCCAAGTGTGAGCACAGATAAAAAATTTGAAAAAATACCCAGTAAATAATACAAATAAAAATTAATAAAGAAATTAACTTAAAAATGAATGGAATAATATTAATAATTGTATGTATCACAATGTGATTCACACATTTTACTCAGTAAATTTATACAAACAACCAAATTGTAAATCCTAATCAATCTAATTAAACTTTGATGTAAAAAATCTGATTCCCCAGTAGCTTCATAAATATTTACTCATGCACATAGAAATGAGAGAAATTCTGAGCCAATGTATCACATGAAAAGAAAACTTTTTTAAAATGAATAATAGATACATTTTATTGACTACAAGAGTGCCAGATAAATTCCTACCCCCTATATCCCAAGAATTTAGGATAATTAAGCAAAAAAATTAACAGCTGATATACCAAAAATTAAGAAATTAGCAGTGAAAAATCTTACCCTGCATAAACTAAGATGACATCATCATTGTTTATCTTTCCTGTGGCATATTCAGCAATGGCTACAGCTGCTATTTGTATTTTGTCATTATAAAACCTCTCAATCAATGCCTGAAGGTTATTGATGGCCTAAGTCAAACAAAAAAAACAAAAATATAAATTTCATACAAAGCAAATTAAACAACAATGTAAAGTAAAATGCTGATTATAGTTAGATGAATATATGATCAGTGACAAGGCTAAGAAAACAATGCAAAGTTCAAACTTCTACAAAAATACATAAAAGCTTCAAAGAAAGAAAGAAACCTAATTTTTCTTCTTTACCAAAGAAAATAAAAATAAACAAACAAAGATGATAAAAACAATCAACCAAAGATGATAAAAATAAACAACCAAAGAAAATAAAAACAACCAAAGATGATAAAAAAACAAAAAAAAAAAAAAACAACAGCCAAAGCAAATAAAAACAACCAAAGACGATATTAACCAACAACTCACCACTTCATCTTTCATGTTATCAGGCAGCAAACTGATGTAGTATTTTAGGTATTTGATTGCGTTGTCCATACTTATACTTAGAGGTCGGCATTGGTTGAAATATCTGGAGATTTCAATTATTAAAGGTATTATTTTCAAAGCTGTGGTTCATATTTGGTCAGTCAATGGTCGGGATAACAAAACAAGGGGAAAAACTCATTTTAATTAATATATCTATATATATAATTCTCTTCTGGGAGCCGCTAGAAAACAAGCTGCAAACGCGCCTAGAAAACAAGCTGTAAACGCGCTCCCTACCTCCCCACCCCTACATGGTTTTAGTGAGCTGTGTTCACTATAAATGTTTACAAGCAGAGCCAACGATTTTAAACGTAGGGGGGGGGAGGGGAAAGGAAGGGGGGGTACTGTCGAACTCACAAATTTTGAATTACTGAAAAGTAGAAAAAACAACAACTAAATAGCGGCGTATGTTATGCCGCGGACCGGCTCATTTTTAATAAAATTCTAATGACATAAAATAGCCAAAAACTTTTCTCAAAAGAAAACTTTTAGACACCACAGTTCCTCGTTTGTGTGGTCATGATAAATGAATGGCCCATATTTTCAAACAAAATTTGCCCTGTCACAAGAGTGACTTCCCCTTGGATCATTTCTCATTTTTTTATTTTTAAAATTTCTGTACCTGCAATAGGCTTGAAAAGCTGGTTCCAAATGGTTCCAGAAAGCCTATTTATTCAACCAAAACTGAATATTTTGTAACATTTGAAATTAGTTTAATCAATGGTTCCCAAACGGCTTAAGTTTTAAAAATGTAACTTTGATTTTATCACTCGCCATACTTTTTTTAAAGATTTAAAAAACATTTTTGTATGATTACATAGACTTTTCAAGTTTATTACAGGCCATACACTTCTATACTGAACCATTTAAAACAAAATACATTTCAACTCACTCTAGGCAGGGGTTGATGCAGCTTTTTTCTATATCTCTAGACAAGATGTGCTTGTCTGGTGTTTTGTAGTTACCAATCACCTGTTAGGAATACAATGGGAAAATATATTACAATGCTAATTGTATATGTTAATTAAAACAAATAATGTGTTAGTTGTCAGTGAAGTTAGAATAAATTTTTTTAGAATACTTGCCAAAAATGTTTCTACATGTTAAAATACTAAGTTTTGGTTTTGTAGTTTACATTCAGAATTTTTGACACAGTTTTCAAAGGAAGTTGTCTAATAATGCTTTTAAATACTCATATAATAAAAAGTAAAGTTTTGTTCCCTTCTTAAATCTAAGGGTTCATGGAGCAAGTTTCTGTAACCTCGGCATATGAAGAGATAGTGTGGTCAGCATTATGCTTAGCTGCCTTCACTTTCCCTAACATGAGTTAACTATGCTTTCTTATTCCTATTCAAATAGGGTACCACAATCAAGTATTTGCTAATGATAATTTATATTGACACAATAGGTTCAAAGAACAAAACTGACCTCTTGTAGTGTTTTCAACATGGCGACACACCTTGCATTAGCTCCAATGATGTCATGACTAAAATACTGAAGGCCCAGCTCCAGAACTTTATTATCTACCTTCAGGTTTTTGCCACTGTGAAACAGAGAGACAAAATATATTAGAAATGTATATTGGAGTTCAACTTATTTCTTTACTCTAACTATTTTAGTAATGTTGCTAGTGTTTTTGCAGTCTATAGTAGAAACCTTCATAAAATGTTTGCTGCATCTTTTTTATTCCCCTTATGAAATATATAGTAATGATAAGGATTGGGTATTTAGGCAGTTAACTATTTTACGCACTAGGATATAATTTAAATTTTGTTTTATCAAAATGATTCAGCTTATAACACATTTTTTAAAAATAATTCAAAACAATGATAAAAGGTGCAAAACGCAGGATATGTAACTACATTTTTCTTTAAGCAAACTAAATTACACATCTGCCCACATGTGTCTTGGACACGAAAGGGAAATATGATGTTGAAATGTAAACAAATATTAGGTTACAAAAAGGAAAATGTAAATAATTGTACTTTAAATGATGGAGATCAAAACATTTGTATTCGGACCCTACCAAGTTTAGTACTTGTGTGATTTACTTACAAAAAAAAAGATACAAAATGTACATAAAAAAAAATTATTGTCGTGTTAATATTGTTAAATAGGAGAGAGATGGAAGAAGAAGTTCAGGCTACTGGCAAGACCTGGAATGATTTGAAGTGGCTCGCCCAAGTGAAATGGCGAAGATTTGTTGCTGCCCTATACTCCACAGGGAGTGACGAGGATTAAGTAATAAAGTAATATTGTTAAATAGTAATATTGTTAAATAGACTCACATTATTTCTATGTCTTTCCTAGTTCGCACCACCTCCTTTTTGGGTGTAGCTTTCTTAGGTTTTTTCTCAACTGTTTTATCCTTAGTTACCTCCTTCTTTACTGCAGCAACTAAAACAAAATTTTTAAAATCTTAGATTTAGATACTCTAAGCTTTAATTTACTCATTCACCTTGGCCTTTTCAATAACACTTAAGTAATCATGCTAGTATCATCTGAGAAAGTTACTTAAGTAGTCTACACAACTAACTCACCAGTGTTGGCAGTGGTAGGGGCTGGAGTGCTCTCTACTTTTTTTGCTTCTTTGGCCGCCCTCTGAGCCTCCTGTTAATGACAGAAAAAAACTCATTGATATTAACCGCAGAGAGTATAAATAACAACAACAATCTATATATACAAGTATAAAAAGTGGCTTGAATAGTGATCAAGAGACATTTTATCGATAAAAAACATTTATTTTTTTATGAAAGGAAAATAAAGGTAAAGTAAGAGTTCTGTTTCAGTGACCACAGCATAAAAAGGAAAGGTGTTGTCTATGACTAGCAGCTTTTACTTTCCCTCACATCACCTATTCTCAAAGCACTAGCAAAACAAACAACTAACTGGCAACTTGTTTTACTCTATGGAGCTGAGACATGGAGAATAACTGTGATAAATAAGAAAATACAATCATTTATAAACTTATGCCTCAGAAAGATCTTGCGAATTGGCTGGCTTAAAACTATCAGAAATGATGATCTATGGCAACGGACAAATCACACGCCAGTTGAAGTAGAGATCCTCCAGAGAAAATGGAAATGGATTTGCCACACACTCAGGAAGCCTGTATCCAGCATAACAAGACAGGCCCTCACCTGGAATCCACAAGGCAAGAGGAGGAGAGGCAGACCAAGAAAGACATGGAGACGTGACCTGGAAGAACATTGGATACACCTGGGGACAGTTGGAGAGACTAGCCCAGGACAGAGGCACCTGGAAAGCTCTTGTCAGCGGCCTATGTCCCAGGAGGGACGACAGGCAAACCTAACCAAACCTAACTGGCAACTAATGATAAATTGTATCAACTCACCTGAATGGCTCTCCTCTCTGCCCTAAGCTGTGCTTTGGATTTTTGCTCTGCAGGAAACATTATTTTTAAATATATATCTTTTTTTCAGAAAAGTAAAACTTATTGTGGATAGGATAATTTTTGCTAAAATAAATGTGCTGATAAAAATTAAATAGTTAAAAATATAAATTTTCTTCACAACTAATGTATTAAACAATCAGCTACCTTTGAATCTTCATACACCCCATTTAATAAATACACCACACACATGCAATATCTTAGACTGGAGCTACATGTATGCTATCTGTGGTACCTGAATTGTTGGATTCTCCTATTTTATCTCCTGTGCTTTTAATCTGGTCTGTAACTATAACTGAATCTTTGTCCTTGCCTGATCATTGCACCAAAGAAAAGAATAACAAAAAATACAACTAATTTAGCATTCCGAGATAAGAAAATTGTGATTTTATTTTCTTAGATTGCTAAGAGAAAGATTGTAATACAACATCACTGTGACTATAACAGTTCTACTTTTCAAAAAGTAAAGTGTATTTTAGAGTCAATAGAGCAGATATAGCACTTCTTATCTGTTTCATAATAGAATAAAAGTAAAGCTAAATTACCCTTTCAAACCTGGCGGTCCATAGGGCAGATATAATAGAGTTCACCTAGGCATATGAAGGGATGGTGTGGTCAGCATTAAACCCAGCTGCCTTTATTTTCCCCCCACACTTTCAGATTACCATTAGATTTTTTAAAGCTGGGTGGACTCAGGGACTTCCTACAGACTGAGATCTGAACTCAAGACTTCCAGATTAACAGTCATGCGCTTTACCATCAGTCACCAGTATAATACACAGCAATCTTTGTATCCAAGTTGCATAATATAACAACACGAGCCGACCCGCAGCGTATCATACGCCGCTATTTAGTTGTTTTATTTTCTACTTTTCAATAATTCATAATTTGTGAATTCGACAGTACCAATGCTGACACTGAAAATATTTGCTTTAAAACACTAACCCCCCCCCCTTTCCCCTGACCCTACACACCCCCCCCCCCCCCCTGTGAAAGCAGGCTCCTCTTAGTTATTTCTTAGTTACCTCCTGTAAGTTTAAAATCGAACTAAATTATCTGCCCCTAATAGAACCCCGGCTCTACGATTAGTAAACATTTAGCTTTGTAAACACTTAGCGTGACCACAGCTCACCAGACAATGTGGGGGTGGGGTGGGGGTGGTAGTGATAGTGAGAAAGAGAGGGGACTGCAAGGAGGCGCTTGAAGCTTGTTTTCTACCGGCTCCCAGAAGAGAATTATATATATAGATACTTTATCCAAGTATTCACAAAAAGGTGGTCCCATACTGTTTTGCATAAGTATATAATTTAACCAAGTAAAAAACTATATCTAAAATGGTGTACCAAAACTATTTAAACAAGTTATGTAACAACTCACCAGAACTACCTTTGCTCTGTGCTGGACAGTCCTCTACTTTTTTGGCCTCTTTAGCTGCCCTTTGAGCTTCCTAATAAGATTAAAACAAATAGAAAACATTTAAATAAATCTAGTAAATCCACAACTAAAGTGTTACATAAGCTAATAAACATTTTCATATAATTTTTAATTAAGATAATTTATGTAGTTTAATTTAAAATCATACACATACAAGTAATAGATTTTTAAGTAGACCTATTGCTTTAATATTAAACAACAGATGCTAGAAAGGCATGATCTGTGATGACTAACCTGTATTGCTCTTCTTTCAGCTTTTAACTGTTCTTTTGATTTCTGCTCTGTTGGTAAAAAAATATGTGAAATCAACCTAAATGTATTTTTCCTACATCTAATTAAAACTGAAGCAAAGGCCAACCGCAAATCAATCTAACAACAGCATTTTTATCACAAAGATTTTCTGAAAATCTTGAACAAAGAGATTCTTCATATACTAAGTCCATCCATTTTCATTCAAATGAATTTTGTGTACTTTATTTTTCCAAACTAAGTCAACTAGTGCAGAAATGGGACATTCACTTTTTCTATAGACAATTTCAACCAGTTTCTTTAACATAAAACGGTTTTACTTCCCATACAGACAGGAAAATAGATGACACATTCTTGAACTACAGCATTTTTTAAATATAATTATTTTAAAATATACACAGGTTGAAAAAAAAGGCATTATACAGGGAAATGTTCTAAGTTTATTATGTTTGACAAAAGATAGCTTAATATTTTACTAATAATAAATAAAAAATACACTAATCCCAGAAACAAATATAAAAAATCTTAACTTCTGATATTATTTCAATAAAAAAATTATTTGAAAGGCAAAAAAAAATAAAAAAAAATCAATATAGCCATTGGAGCATTATTTTTTCAATATCAATCACAGCATTAGTTACAGTACACTAAATAAATAAAACCCAATTCAACAGCAAAAAAAAAAACATTCTGCAACTTTATAAAATTTCTGAGAATCAACCGCTAATGATAAAACAAGAAAATGTTAATAAAATGTATTATTTTCTGCTTCCATGAATATCTTAAAATTGTTGTTACCAACAAGACTTCCATTACTATATGTACTAAATGTATTAGACATAGTTCAGGTGAATGAGGACTGTAGCAATACCAGTGTATACGACTGCGAAAGGTTAAAGGACCTTAAAGACTGACTTTTTATTTGCCATTAACTCAAAACATAAAAATTAGACTGAAACGCACTTTAAAATTGAAAGAGACTTTCTCAATCATTGGTAACAGTGAAAGAAAGAGCTACTTGATTTGAGAAATATTTATTTAAATGCATTAATTAAATATAATTAAAATCACATACAACTAATTTAGAAAAGTGTATGATACAAAATTGCCATTAATGATACCTGTAGTTGAATTATTTTCTTGCTGGGCAGTGTCCACCACTGCTTTTTCTGTTGTACCAATTTTGGGTTCAGGAACACTGGCTAGTACAGGAGCTATGGCATTGTCTGTTTTCTTTTCCGCTTTTGGCTTCTTCTGCTTATGTTTTTTCTTACCCTCGACATGATCAGGGGTCTTCTTTGTTTCAGGGGTCTCTTTTGTTTCAGGGGTCTCTTTTCCTTCAGGGGTCTTTTTAGTTTCAAGTGTGTTTTTAGTTTCAAGAGTCTTTTTTCCTTCAGGGGTTTTCTTTGATTCAGGGGTTTTCTTCACTTCAGGGGTCTTTTTAGTCCCAGGGGTTTTTATGCTCCCCTTTGCATTTTCAGCCATATTTGATTTTGATGAAAGAATCTACAGAGAAAAAATGTTAGATGAATTATTATTTACTTCATATTAAACCTTTAAAGATTGGCAAGCTGAAAATTGTATTACAGGATTAAGATCATTTATCAGACACTGGATTAATTTTAAATTAATATAAAAAAAATAACACTACTAGATCTATATATTTTTGTCAAGTTTAGTATTACTAGTAGTAGTAGTTGTTGTAGATCCAGAGAGTAGTATTTAGTATTAGTATTAAAAAAATAATTGTATGACAACTAGTACTAGAATATCTAAATAATACAATCATATATTTATTAATCACATTCTTTTCTTTTCCAGATCATTGTGACATTAGGTTAGCCTACTAGATCTAGGTTCTTATAATATAGGGCCTAATCTAGATTTTATGAGATAGATCTCTAGATTAGTCTATATTTAGAAACAAGTTTGGGTAAAAATCCATTTTAGCGTATTTTATTCTCCGCTTCTTGTTTACCTCCAGCTGAGCAAATTTTTTATTATAATCGAAACATACCAAAACATTAGGAAAACACGATTTATTTATTTGTATTGTATTTTTGTTTTAACAAGTGAATAAAAAAACAAAGAGACTGACTTTGTTTTAGATTTTTATAGTTTACTTTTGTCAAAACTTGAGAAAAATCCAAATTTAGAATACTGAATGTATTGTGCTATGTTCGTGTGTCAGTTAGAATTTTCATGGCAATGGGTGAAGTACATAAACTTAACTCACAATTGCAAGGCGTACTTACAATTGCAAGGCGGTTAAGTTTGTATTGTTACACAAGTGTCTCCCAGGCATGATACTATAAATAAGCATTTATGAACTAACAATGACCCCAAAACTGAAGCCAACACAATTTCAAACAGCTATTGCCCGAGCTATGACATATGCTGTTAATTAAGTCAATGTGAACTCACGGTGAACCCGCGACCGTGTAAGGATTTTTCTCCCGCTGACGATCACACGATATTTAATTGGAACAGTTCTATTGCTTTTTTTATTTTTACCTTTTCTAATTAAAAATCACATTCATAAAAAAATAAGTAGATCCAGTGTTTTCCTAACATTTTTGTGTGCTTCGGTTGTGTTTATTAGGCCTATAGTTTATAATAAAATTAAAATACGCTCAACTGGAGGTGAACATGAAGCGGGGAATAAAATACGCTAAAATGGAGTTTTACCCAAGTTTGGATTTTAGTGCAGGGTCTTATTGTGTACAGCTGTCAGCATCTTTTAGTTTTAACTTTTATTAAGCTGTTCAAACAGAGTCACAGGACAGTGGGCACTGACTGAACTGAGGGCTTGGCTAGCCTACTCGATGGTTTTCTAGGTTCTAGACCTTTGAGATTTTTTAGGTTCATTTTTTTCCATTTACATAATTCACGATGAACCAACCTTTATCTTTTTAGTTTTAGGTACAAGGGTAATAGACCTAATTAAAATTTAGGAGATAATTTTATTAAGCACAGCGCAGTATGCTTGCAACGAAAGTTTGCATCATTCCGGAAAATACTCTGCCGTTTTATTCTCCAGCTACTTTTTAGTTTACCTTTTAATCATATAAAAGTGCTACTTTTTTCCAAACTTCACGAAAGTAGATCTAGATTCTATATATTTTACGAAAAAAATTAAAAAGAAAATTAAACTATTAGGCCTAAAAATATTCTAGAACATATTATATATGCCACTTGTCTAGCCAACAGTCCCTTGATACATGTATTGTTTACCTAGGCTACAAGGCAGAGCTGCAAAAGTGGTGATACATTTAAAAAAGGAATAACATAGGAAGGTGGGGTTTGGGGGGGGGGGGGGGGGGGGGGAGACTTGGTTTCTTGTGTTATAGATCTCTAGAAATTATATTTTAAATATAAAAAGTTGAACATTTTGTAATCTGGACAAGCTGTTAAGCTTTTTGGCGCTATTTAAATGAAATTATTCTTTATGAATTATTAATATACATTCCATAATATTAAAAATATTTAGGATGTCTTGGGCTATTAAAGATTAAATAAACTGTATTAAAATTTACGTTGCATACAATTTGATGACTTTAATTTTTTTTTTAAATAGTTTCATTTCATTTAGGACTTTATATCTGGTAGACTAGATTGTAGATGGTTAGGCCTGGACTGCTCATTTAGCTGAAGCATCACGTGTGCTCCAACTAGTTTCAACCCTACGTCAACGGTTGAACCAAAACAGACCACGTCATTCCAAATTCCAAATTACCAGTTATCGTGACATTTTTATTCTAATATTTTAACTATAAACCCCAACCCTAACCACGGCCCAGAGGTGTGATACTCCATAAATCGCTGAATTAACAACTGTCAACTAAAGGACAACACAGATTTACCTTTCAGCCAATCAGTGTGTTTGGGGGCGTGGTTTGTTATTATTAACTAGACCGTCGTATTGATTCCTTCCTTCTGAGTTAGCTTCGGACGTTCTTGCAAAATGTGTGCAACTGTCCATTTAAGCTAGCTATGTCAATATTCTGGAGAGAATTGTAATACTATTTCAGTAACTACAAGAATCTCAGTATAGAAACGATAAGCCCCATATACAATTATAATCGTATATAGCATCTACATACCCTCCCCCCTTTCTTAAATTTTATTTCCCACGATTCATTGACACCACGCGCGACTGCTATGAGAAGCTGTCCCAATATCTCTTCAAAATAATAGCTGCAGCCAATATTCCGATCAACATTTGTCAATTGCTGCAGCTAAAATAAAGCTTTCGTGTGACTATTATAGTTATATTATGTAAACTTGTAGTAGGCCTACATGGCTTTACTGGAGGGCGCGGTCAGTGTTTCTTCAAGACTTTTTCTCCGGCGGGAGGGGGGGGGGGGGAGAGAAGGGGGGCGGTCACTGTTAAAAGTATATATTTTCTATATAAATTTCATTTCGTAGGGGGGGGGGGGGGTAAACTTTCTTCGGCTGGGGGGGGGGGGGGGGCTTAGCCGAAGAGATGCCTGGAAGAAACTCTGGGCGCAGTCTTGTGGTAGAGCGCACGAACGCTTTACTCGTATCACTATAAGCAATAAGTAACTCTTCTATGACACTTGCTGCAGCCATTATTCTAAACCTACTATGACTAGCTGCAGCTATTTTTCTAACATTACTATAACAATAGTTACAGACAGTATTCTAGCCCATGACACAAGCTACAAACAAAATTCAAGCTCGACTATAACAGCTGCAGCCATTATTCTAGCCCTAATATGATACCAGCTGCAGCCATTATTCTAATCCGACTATGACACTAGCAACATACATTATTCTAGCCCTACTACGAAACTAGCTACAGCTATTTTTCTAGCTATACCATGACACTAGTTACAACCATTATTCTTGCCCTACTATTTAAGCTATAGCGACTATTCTATGACACTAGCTACCACGACACTAGCTGCAGCTAATTCACGGCAAGTGACAGTCGGGGCAGACTTGCTACCGGTGACAACGGCACTCGAAGGACGTCACAGCCGAGCTATGATTGACGGCTACTGCGTGACACTAAGAGAGTGTCAAGCACCCCCAGTCAACTCCTGTTGTGGGGGGTGGGGGTGGCTGGGGTAGGGTATCGTGGTGGCAGGCTAGTCCATCAGCAAACAAACAGACAGCTGTACCAGGGGCAGGTTTTACCCACCAGACACCAGTTCCCTTACTCTCAGTGTTTTTTCCAGACTTTTTTTTTCTCCGCGGGGAGTGGGGGGGGGGGGGGGGGGGGAGCACTTGAAATTTTCGAGGGACGGACTAAAATTTCCGGGGGACGGGTGAGGCGGACACTGTCAAGAGTATATATGTTCTATATAAATCCCATTTCGTTCGGGGGGGGGGGGGGGCTGTAGACTTTCTTTGAGGGGGGGGGGGTGATGCCTGGAAGAAACTCTACTTACACTAAGAAGCTTCGGTAGTACTTGTATAAACGCAAGCAGAATATATCAGTGTTTCTTTCAGACATTTATCTCCCAGGGGGCACTTGATATTGGGCGGACCAAATTTTTTTTTGGGGGGGGGGGGGGGGGGATTGCGGACACTGGTAAAAGTATATATGTTTTAAATAAATTCTATTTCGTTCGGGGTTGTTGACAATGATAAATGTACACGACACGTCATTAAAATGTTCTTATTTGTTGTCTATTCTAAATTTTAGTCAATCGAATTCCCACCCCTACCTCCTCCCCAACTTATCATCGTCAAACGTTATTATAACATACTTGACGAATGACGACCCCCCCCCCCACACACAGACTTACCCCCCCCCCCCCCCGAACGGAATGAAATTTATATAATTTATATAGAAAATATATACTTTTAACAGTGTCCGCCCCCCCCCCCCCCCCCCGAAAATTTCAAGTGCCCCCCCCCCCCGGAGAAAAAAGTCTGGAAGAAACACTGCTCACACATTTACAGCCATAACCCATCTGCCCCTAATTTGTATGCAGGGTCTGGTGACCCTGGTACGTTAAATCAGGGTCACCCCCCCCCCCCCCCCCCGTTTTGATGACGTCCTACACGTACATTGCTGCGGACATCGTTTAAAGTATAGATCTGTATATATTTTAATAAATTGTACTTTAAAAAAAAAATTCATGGGGGAGGGGGGGGGTGTGCCTCGTGTGAAGGGCACCCCGAATTGATGCCTGAATCTGAACCACTGCCCCCCCCCCCCACCTCAACCAAACCCTACCTTAGTTGCCTGACGTCATTTCATAGACAACATTTGTAGACAAATAGGTAAGGGCTACGTTTAAAAAAAAAACACGATCTTAACATTGTAACATGCGCTCCAAAGTAGTAAGTAGGCCTACTCCTGTCTACTCACAAGCAAGCCTCAGATTGGTTATTAAATCATCACGTGATATTTACATTTGAAAAAAAAGAAAACTTTTTTATTAAACTGTTGACAAAAAAATCGATGCCAGATTTTTTCCCCAATGTCAACCAAACAGTGCTGTCAGTTGCCGAGACGAAGTAGTTCCGACCCTTACCGTGTCAGCTCGAGTTCCACAATGACGGAATACCAGACTTTTGGCAGAAGATTATCAACATTGTACGGCCTGTTTCCCTACCCCCACCCCCCAACCACTTGAGCCTCTCCGTGACCTGTTACTCTGACACTGGAAGGGGGCTCTTCTGTCAATATTTACCATTCAAGCGCGCGGGGTCACGTGTCACTTCCTAAACTGACTGTTGACCCCGCCTACTTTTTTGGTGATAATCTCTCGCATAAAAATACTTCTTCCATGGGATCATGCTCCGAGCCTATTGTATAACATAAAAACATGGCAATAACATAAAAACATGGCATTTTATCCACTACCCTGCTTTACATAATATATATCGTACGTTATGTAAAAACTCAACAGACACCACCATTACATAGCAAAACCAACATCCTACCCCCCCCCCCCACACACACAAATAACATTTGACAAGATGAAGTTAAAATATTTATATTTAAAAAGAAACTGTTGTGATTGCATTTTTAAAATACAATACGTTTTAAATAATTATTTTCTACATATATATATATAATATATATATATATATATTTATATATATATATATATATATATATATATATATATATATATATATATATATATATATATATATATATGTAGGCCTATATATATATATATATATATATATATATATATATATATATATATATATATATATATATATATATATATATATAATATATATGTATAATATATATTATACAGCAGATGTGATGCAATGCG